ACACATTTTAGAATCTTGACAAAGGCAAGGGTTTCCTGCCGAAACGTCGATTAATTGCAATGGAAAATAAAATCTAGTTCCACATGTGATATATCTTTATTGAACCTAACCCAGGAAATATTAATTTTTTATTAAATATATATATATATATATATATATATATATATATTTTAACTAACAATCTCTATTTTGACTATTATCAATATATTTTTATTTGTTTAAAACCATATTTTTCTATTTATATTCTATTTTTGTATGTACCACACATGGTACACGTCGGTTGTAGTGAACATTCTTCAAGACAAAATATGGTGTACCACCGGTGGACACCATGTTTCGTAAGTCCTGGGTGTCGCAGTATTTTGTTGCATTTGGATGTGGATTTGATTTTGGACATTTCTACAATATTTGCATGGAATTATTTGGGAGGCTTATGTATGAAGGAAGGACACTATATATTGATAATTATTATAGTAGTGTAAATTTTTGTAAAAAGCTTTTTCAGTGTAAAACATAATGTTAGTGTAACCCTTAGATCTAACAGAAAAAAAAATCCCAAAAATGTAGGTCAAAAAAGTTGAAGAAAGGGCAAATATATGGAAAACAAAATGATGATGGCATAAGAGTTGCTAAATGGATGGACAAACGTCCTTTATTAATGATTAGTACAGTAAATGCTGTTATTACATATAACAAGGAAAAACAAAATGTGAACTTGTCAAAGGTTTTTATATTATATTCCGTTAACGAAAAATATTAAGCTGTACAAGAAAGTGTTCTTCGAAATTGGTCTTGGTACATGCATAGTAAATACGTGAGTTCTCATCAATAAGTATACGTAGAATTCTAAAAGATGCAATATGTTATCTATTTGCGCAAAAAATATTAAAGGACTATTACAAAGTGAAGTTACAGAAAGTCCTTGTGAACCAGATATTATTCCAGTGAAAAAATCCAAATATGAAGGTAGTGCTGGACAAACAAGAAGACGCTGCTTTCATGTTATAAGAAAATTTAGGACACACAAAGATCAAAAGCGGCCCAAACAAAAACAAGAAGAGTGTTTATACATTGCGATACATGTGAAGAACAACTATGTTCTTTCCTTACTTTGATGAAATTCACAAACCCACCTGTGTTGAATGTTAAAATAATTTCTTAAGTGTTGTATAATATCTACGTTATACTATGATGTTTTAATATTAATAAACCATTTTTGCTGCAGTTTTTTGGCCTATAAATTATGATATGCCAAAACGACGTCAAACCCGTATATTTAAAACTATACTTTAAGTGCGTACGCAATATAAACAACATATCAAATACCTGCAAAGTTTTATAGAGTTAAGAAATAGAAAGTTAACGTTACCACCGGTGGCCACAAGCGGCTTAACGAAAAGTTAGGTATGTACCACCGATGGTACACAAAGGAGATACATTGTATTGATTTGTAACATTTAAGCAATGTGCATAAATTAAAAACTTAATGATTCACTTATAAATTATGGATTTTTATTCCTTCCTCTTTTTCTGTGTCAAATTTGTTGTCCTGCCTGATTGGAATGATTACATATTGACTAAGTTCTTCAAGGTTATTATCAACAGTACACAATCTTTCTTTCTCTTTTTTACGTGGTTTGGGGTATTGGTCCAGTTATCTTACGTTACGTTTGTTTATGAAATTTAATAAAGGTTGTTTGACATCCTTTAATCTAAAATTTGTATTTTTGTCAAATGACTTCACCTTTTACCTAAGCCCATATTAACTCTATTGAATGTAGTTGACAATGATAAGGTGTCAAATGTAATACCGTTATTCCTTGTATTTTTGCCATTTTGTCAATGACATATTTTTACAGTACGATTTATTTTGCCTTACAATTCGTAATAATTTCGTTTTAAGCATAGTATGATCATACGGTATTGTTTTGCGTTGGAGCCAGTCAATTATATCTAGTTTTACCCATGACACCATCGCTAACTTTTCCACTAATTTTGAGTGATAGCTGGAGTATCGAAGACAACGACAGCATCATTTTGTAGAAAATTCAATACCTGAGAAAAAGCAATCTTCATTTTATTTCTATGTGGTAATCTTTAGTGGATTTTGAAACGAACTGAAATAAACGATTCTGCACAAAACCATGTTTGCTACTAATGTACTAATTGGATATTAAAAGTCTGAGGTACGCCAAGCAATTAATTAGCTAATTAATTAATTAATTAAAATTATTTAAATGATGCAAATAAGATTATATCACCCTATTTAATTTTCTTATCTCAGGGGTATACTCGTGCTTCAATATCTATGCTTTACATATGATTCGTAAGGTCCAAAGAATACCGGAATAATAAAAAACATATATGATACAACCTTATATATTGAAATAAAATTCACCCTCAAATAACTTCAATAAAAAATATCTCATATAATGATTATCAAAATTTTTGTCTACGTACGTGAACCTTCAAAAATTAATGGTATATACAATATAAATTAAATTTTCAAATTAAAATTGTGTTCTAAATCTCCTGATCAAAATATTCCTATCTTTTCTAAAGCAATTGTTAAAAAAATTGTGTTGCTAATAAAGAAAAACTGCCGATTAGTAAAACTATCTCTCTGATGATGAGTTGTCCACACTATCTATTCTTAGCAGTCCCCTAGGTAATCAGCAATCTTACAACAAATTGTTGCGAGCCTATCGTCTTTAATGATCTCCGTCAAATGCACGTATCGTTCAAATGATGCTAGCCTCTTCTCCTCTCGATAAACTGAATCTCTCGTTCTGGCCTGTCAGATACACTTACTCCAAGAAAACACAAACATTCACTTCTACTGCTTACTACCTCTGAGGAACCACCCGAGAACAACGACTGTTCGCCTTGCACCCTTGAAAAACAACTAATTATTTTTTCTCCTTCAAAAATCTAGCTAAACTCTCTTTCCTACAAACCTATCCCACTTTTTTCAATCTCCTCCAATCAAAGCTCGTCACACTTATCCCCATCTACCATTTAGATAACAAACAACAATTTTACCTACAATTATAAATTTCCTAAAAACTATTAACCTGCTAATCGGTTTTCACAAATTCTTAAGAACTAACGGAGAAATATTTTTCTGAATATTTCTATTCTATTGTCTTATTCACTGTATATCGACGTACAAGTCTATTTAGAAAACACGCTCGCATTGTTCACGATTTTTCTAAGCTCACTCACGTCACTCGATTATATTTTACAAAGAAAACAATTTATGCATATCTTTAAATTTTGTTTACTACAGGTAATCCAGGATAATGGACTTTCATTTCTTCGAAATATTTTTTATAGTTTATTAGTTGAATTATTTGAACTTTTATATTTTGTACTTTGAAATATATTAAGAGCAAACCAATATTATTTTCAATTTTACATAGAATAACAGTACATGATTATTAATCTTCGACCATTTCTTGTGGAAGCATTTAAACCAGTAGAATATCATTCTAGAAAGACTTCTCGAGAACTTTCATTTAGCCAGGGTTCATCTAAATAGAAAATGCACCTTCCTTCTAATACATGTAAATCTTTTTATCGTTTTTAAATATTGCCTTCGTCAACACAGTTTTTTTTTCTGCATCGGTTAGTATAGGTTTTTTCTTTAATTTTTATAAAATAACATGATTAACTTATTTCAATAATTAATTTCGGCCAAAGTGAGGAAAATTATTATCCCTTGTTGCCATTAATATTGTATACAATGTAGGAATCTCCTTGTTTAAATAGAACAAATGAACTTTTCTCCGAAGTACGTTTCTATAAAAGTCATCAATTTCCATTGTTTCTACTTATTTTTCTTTATATATGTTTGACTCAATTTTTTTTTCACTTAAAAATCTGTAACTGATTATTTCACTAATTACTGTTATAGCGGAGCATATAGTCACTACATTATTAACGGTTGTTAAAGTTTGTTAATAAACAAATAAGTCGTGAATATTTAACACAAGTTTTTTCTCTAAAAGAATACCCTCCGTTGTTTGACAGCAACAAATTGAAACGATGATGTCAGTTTAACGCTTGGACTGAAATGCCAACTGACAATACGGACGGTATCAAATTCGTCACAACTTTCCCTTGGTCGCTAGGTAGGCAAGGCAAAGGTGATTGGTTAAATTCGTCAAACTCATTAATAAAGGATTATCCCCTAATCAGACAAAGTATTTTCGGAATTTAATAGGATAAATAATATGCCTTATTAATCCAAAAATACTACTACTATTCAAAGAAAGAAAATACAGATAATTATCTGTCCAAGATACAACTTTACCAACAATTGTGATTTCCATTTTCTTATTATTAATAATGTTAGGAGTTTTTAATTCCATGGGATATTTTTTAAAGTATATGTAACTAAAAAAATTAACGCATACCTCGTAATTTTTAACAAAAAAACATATTGGTTTTAACCACATCCGTACGGCAATAGTTTATGGCGTTGAAGATAACCCCCAAATTCTATTTAAAGATTTGCATTTGTAATAAACTGCCATTGCAAACAAATAGACTTTATTAATAACATATCTACAAATAACACAACTATACCAAAAATGTATTAATTTAAATTTAAATGCTAAAATATGGATAGTCAATCAACAAATAAGATAAAGAAAAAGAGCCTTGGTGGAGCAGTCGTGATAGCGACTCTTTACTCAGCGTCAACAAATCACAAAATGTAAAAACTCAGTGTCGCGTGAACGAATCCTATGACGTGATGGGAATTTTTATCTAAAAAAATCTCTGTGGGATTGGTACTTACACAAGGTACCCGAGTCATTCGGATATATTAAGCTCTTCTTTGGAAAGGCAATAAAGCCGACTTTAAATAGTAAAAAGGCATTTACTTAACCTTAACTTAACTTTAACTTAACATACACAAAAATAACTACAACCTTAACAAAAAAAGATAAAAGAAACCAATGATGTGATAAAGTCTATAAAAACAAAAATTTTACCTGTAGCTCAGCTTCCTTGGCGGTCTTCACTAATGCCATCAAAGTTTGTGTCGATGACATATCAATTAGAGGTGGGAACATAGCAGCTCCCGTTACGTTGCTAAAGGGATTCATGACAGAAAAATCCGGCCTCTTATTACTTGCATCATTCTCTTTGTTTTGTGGTGTGATAGGAAGAAGACTGGGAAAGGCTGGCTTGAATCTGGGATCGATGGGTGGCGGAAAACCATTTCTTGCGGCATTAAAATAGCTGAAACAGAAAATTTAATTACTCGTTTCTGCAATAACGAGTTTATTTTTTATTATTATTAGATATTATTGTAGACCATGCAGTATTTTCAGATGAAGGATAATTTTTGTAGATGGAACTGTTAACAGGCAAAACTATAGGTACAGGTCGATACCAATTCTCATTTAATGGCGGAGGCCTATACTCCCTATCCCGAAAAAGTTCATGTTTGGACAGGAATTTTTTACAACATTCTGGGTTGATTTTTTATTGAAGGAAGATTGACAGATCAAAAATATTTAGATATGCTACAAAATTACATTATTTCAGCTATTGTGTGAAATATAGTGTGAAAACATTTAGTTATAGAACATTTAGAAATTATTGAGAGCACACATTTTATTCTTCACTTATTACATTTTTTCTGCATTCACTAACCCTGTTTTTAGATTTTTGCTATAAAATTTGTTCGATCACTCATTTTCAAATGTATTATAAAGTACTGTTCGACCCAAAAATATTAAATTTATTTCAAACTAAATTTTCTCACTGTATATCGACATATATACATATATACATTAACTCCTAAATTAATACAAACACTAAAGGTTATTGACAATATAAAAATAGCAACAAAGAACATCAAAACCATTTCATCTTTATATTCCAAAACTAAATATCCTATAGACAAATTAGATCAAACAAATGTAGTATACAGCATTAGTTGTACTCAGTGTGAAGCTGAGTATGTTGGTGAGACTGGAAGAAATCTCTCAAATCGCATTATTTCTCACAAAAGTGATTGCAGAATTAAGAAACCATCTTGTGCTTTGGCATAGCATGTAATAGACAAAGACCATATTATGGATTTTGATAATATTAAAATTGTATGTAGTGAAAGTAATAAATTTAAAAGAACTTTTTTGGAAATGGTTTGTATTAGCAAAAGTGATAATTTAAACAAAAGGTCAGAAATTCAAAATCTAAGCAAAATTTATAATTATATTATTTCTATGTAGTTTATTTATGTAATTAGTAAAATATCACATTCTGAATTTTCCATGTATTTGTTACATTTTTCCAGGCATCTATCAATGGTGAATAAATCTTCTTCTTTTTTGTTATTAAACAAAAAAGAATTTTTTTAAACAAAATTTTATTTTTGACAATACGTCATAAAAATTTTTAAGTTGGTATTTATGACATTGAGGCTTATTTGTAGCTATTCAATTTTTGTTTACAAATTCAATTGTTTTTGTTAAGAAACTTTTTTAAAATTTATTTCGGAGAAACATTTATTAGAATAGGACATAGGAGTTAACAAAAAAAATATTTCTAGTTCAACTTTGTAAGATATTTTGTATTTTTTAGTAACTCTTGATAATAATTGTAATCACAGCTCGAGTAAAAAATAGTCAACAAATAGCCCCTTTTATTGACTCCAACCCATCCAAAACAGTTTTTTGTTTTTAAAGATGTTTTATATACGACAGGCATTTATGTTAATTGTTTAGAAATGAAAAAAATTATTACACTTACAAATAAAATATACACTTAAATATTTTGACTAATATGTAAAGTTGTTTAAAGATATTGTATATACTTACTCATTTGGATTCGTATTATTATACTTTGCAGCTAAGCTTCTCATAAAGTCACTGTAATTTCTTCCTGCTAGCATTGGATTTTCTTGTGTTGGGGGAGTATCGGGATGCGAAGAAGAGCTAGGAGTAATAGATCTAGATCTACTGGAAGTATCCGGTGTAATCGGACTCAGTCTTTCATTCTTCAAATTATTGTTATTGTGTAGAATAAAATCAGCCTGGGCTGATATGGCAGTTGAAATCGAACCATTGTTGTTCATTGAACGCTCCATTCGTTTTCTTCGTGCAGGTTTCGTTGTGGTGTGAAGGATAGAGGTTGCTTCAAAACCTTCTGTTGGAGATGTTGTTTCGCCTGTAAAGAATATAATATATTGTACATAATTGGTCACATTTTATACTATATCAAAATAGTAAGTATAATTGACCCGCCTTTTTTGTTTTAATATGTTTCAGTTTATTAAAGTTTGAATAATATAAGTACTAATAATAATAAAATTACTATCTTTGACTCAGTGCCGCATTAATAGCTTGTAGATATATTAAGAATGTATAAAGTTGATGATAATATACTGAACTTTTTAAGATATGTAAGGACAGATAGGAAGAATAAAATTCACTTCCAAATACCTGGTGACAGCATTATCGGAAAATATCGCAACTAACCGCTGCCTATTCCAAGGAGACTCGTTTAGTCCAGTGGTTCTGTCTAGCGAAACTACTATCCCAGCTATTAATTCCACCGACTCAGGTTTTTGCAATAAAAGCAACAATACTGTAGTGGCGAAGTTTATTCATCTGTTGTATGTAGATGACAGGAAACTAATGGCTTCCACCCAAAACCACTTAGATCAGATGCTAAAAACTATAAAAACATTATCTTATGATATTAGTTTGCACTTAGGGCTAGACAAGTGCCGTGCTTTAAATATAGTCAGAGGAAAGGTTTAGTCCGAAAGATCCGATATGCAAATGGCCAAAAACATCGAGGCTAGGGGTAAAAATGACGTATAAATATCTAAAAGTAAAGCAATCACAGAAAATTGACCATAAACAAATAAATATTGAATTAATTTTAAGTTCATACCAAGGATAAAATAGCTGCTTCGTTCACATCTTAACCGCGGTATTTGGGAGGACGAGGACTTATGGATATAGGTAAAAAATTAGAAAAACATATTACTAATTTAAGAACTTATTTTCAGATTCAGGCTGAGACATTAAATCGCGCAATTTGCGCAGTAGATGACACAACACCGATCCAACTGAGGGAACCAGAAATGCACATAAACTATCTAACTAAGAACAAAACAATGTGCATCTGGAGGGGTAAACCTCTACACGGGCGACATCCTAATGATGTCAGTCAAGACTATGTCGACAATACAGTGTCGAACTATTGGTTGAGAACATTATCAGAGAACATGTTCCTTGAAACAGAAGGTTAATTACTTACCAATCAGGATCAGGTTATACCAAACACAAATTACCTGAAATATATCGCCAAACGTCCTCAGATATAAAACTGCAAAATGCCGATATGGATATTAAGCCCAAGAAACCATCTAAAGCCTTACCGTGGGCTGCCAGGCATTTGCTGCAACTGAATATAAGGAACGGCATCACTGAATGGGGAAGAGATAGCTTTTAAACTGACATTACTCAAAACAAACCATCTCCCATATTACTTATACGTTCCTGGGAGTATGCTTGAGAATGACAACTACAAGCTATACTTGGATCACAATGTGCTCACAGACCAAACAGTACACATAGTAGGCCATGTCTTGTAGTAGTTAATAAACTAACGAGACAAACAACACAATTGATGTGGTGATACCTAACAACAATAATGTGTGTGTTAAATGCAACAAAAATGTCGCCATAGAAAAAATAAAGTATAGACATCTGGAAATACAAATAAGAAGATAATGGAGAATAGAACATACGCAGAGGATATTTATTATTCTTTCTACTACTGAAGTCATTTCAAAGAACCTCCTTAAAAACATTAAAAAGCTGGGTCTAAATGAACATCACCATAAGACCATGCAAAAGGCTGTATTACTCTCAACATCTAAACATCCAGATGCGTACGAACATTTTTGAAAGATACACCGACGTATCAAGTTACTTAGGACTTCATACCACGGCAAGAGCCCCACCAGAGCTCAATCTTTTGGATACCATAGGTATCTGGTATGAGTAAATTTTCTCCTTAAAGGAAGTGTAACTCGTATGGCTTAATCTGTTTATTACTATTACTAATTGCTAATTTTATGGGCATTAAGATCAGAACACGACGGTTATACTTCTATCGGAAGGACAAATAACAAAGTTGGACCTTGGTAAAAACCACTGCTAAGGAGTTTAACGGCTGCTAAGAAAATTTGAAGTGCTTTATTGAAGACAAATATTATTTTTATGTGGGTTGTTAAGCCACAATTTATTGTAATGAAAATTACATTTTTAATACGTTTGAGGTTTCGATTTCCATTCCGAAAATCATTAAAAAAATATTTAAGCAATTATGCAAAAAATATAGTCAACAGGTTGTTAAGTTGGATTATATTTTTCAAAACTGACTGTTAACTTCCTTGGCCTCAATCTTGTAGACAATAGTTCTTTTGGTTGACAAAAAATTTGAGAGTGGTGTGTTAACCCTCGTAATATCAAATTTGTTGTTTTATGTATTAAATTATTTTATTTGTTCGTATTAAGTTCGCATATTAAGAAGTATAATAATTTGTTCGTTTCAACTGACATTGCCGCAGTACTAGAATGTGCTTGTAAAAAACTTAACTGGGAAGAGAAAGGCCTGATCATTGACGGTAGAAAAGTAACAAATTTAAAATTCGTAGACGACATAGTTTAGTTCTCGGACAACCTCAAATAGATATGTACAATGCTACATGAACTTGAGTTACTGTGAGCCAGTGTGGGTCTTAAAATAAACATCAAAACAAAATTCATGACATACCTAGTACCTAGCGAAAATATCAATATTGGAGACAACGAAGTAGAGCTGGTGGAAAAGTACATATATCTTGGACATGGAATAAAGATCACAAGAGACAACCAAACATGCGAACTACGAAGAAGAATAAACCTAGCATAAGCAGACTATGTAAAACTCAGACATCTTTAATAGCGATATACCAATTTCTTTTAAACTTAAAACATTTGACCAATGTGTGTTGCCTGTGATGACCTATGGTGCCGAAACTTTAACATTGACAGCTACAAGTTCTAAAACGCTGCAAATAGCTCAGAGGAAAATGCAAAGATCAATGTTGAGTATATCACTTCGTGACCAAGTTAGAAATGAAGACTTACGACGAAGAACAGGAGTTACCGATATAATTTCCCAAATTGTCACACTGAAATGGAACTGGGACGGATACGTCGCCCGAATCAGTGATGAAAGGTTGTAACCGTTTCAAAAGTTTTAGGAAATTCATTATAAATTTAATTTTTTTTTAATAAAACTGCTAACCCCATCTATCTGCCGGGTACTTGTAGCCGACTTAAGGTTTCTACTGTAATTCTAAACCTATTCGGTAGATGAGAATGATTATTAACTTGTCAATCACGCCCCAATTCAAACCGGGAAATGATAGCGTCTGTCTCTTTTCTCTTACAAACATCCAACTGTTAGGACGTGTTTTTGTGAAGTGGTCTCTAAAAGGCCTTTTTTTGTCTATATTTTCAGATAAATAATTATTTTTAGACCTTTTTACCGGGGACGATAAAAGATCATTGAATATGTTTATTTGGCTCGAAGTTAACTGAGAAGTCATATGCTGTCGTAAACGCAGCCCAATATTTCCTTCTAATCCAAATGGACCCCTGATAAATAATTTAACGAAATGCTTGGAGGTTGAGAGGAAACAAAGCATATTCTTTTTGTATGGTTGGCCAGCTACTGGATGATTAAGGTTGTACCTTTCTTTTTTTATTATACCCTATCGAGAAAGCGAGAAATAATTATGGACTCAGAGAAAGAAAATATAGCAGTGTTTTAATTTTGTTTAAAGATTTAACTTTTCTATTATGCCTACTTAATAAATAACTACTATAATATTTTAAATGTAAACGAATTTCGAAATTTGGAAATAACATATAAGTTCATTTGTTTTTTTCGACCAATTCTTGATTTAAAAAGATATAAAGTTGTTTTGTTTATAGTAATGTAATTATGAAATGGTATTTTAGTATCCTTTGGAAATAACATAACTTTTAATGTTTCTTTTTATTACTGAGAAATAATAAAGTGTAATTTCGCTGTAAATTTTCTATATATCTTATTTTTTTATTCTCTCTCGTCCCCTACGAAGATAAACAAGGGGTGGCGTCCAATAATAAATTATAATTTCGGATTATCTGATTGTGTTTAGATTTTTGAGATATTATGTAATTTCTATACACTTGAACTTACTCCTTCATTCCTCTCCGAATTGAGCTATTCTGGCCTTGAACTTAATGTGTGTGCGGGATGTTTATTACGGATCGGCGTTACAAGGTGGACGAAAAAATTGCTTGAGTGGATGCCGAGGTTAGACAAAAGAAGTAGAGGAAGACCCCCTACACGTTGGACTGACGATCTCAAGAACAAGAAATTGGATGAAAAGCGGTCAAGACAGAGCACAATGGACAAAAATTAGGGAAACCTATGTCCAGCAGTGGACGCAAAAGGCTGGGTGACGATGGTAATAAGTGTTTAATGTAGATTTGGTGTTTGTGTATTGTGTATTGCATATGTATTGTGTATAATTGTTGATGACGTCTGCGACTTGCAGCCTTGCCGCTTAAGACGTGCCACAAGAAATCAGTTTCAAAAAGTTTTTTAGAACGTTTTAACGAATTAATTACTTTTGTATAACAGAAACTTGTTATAATAAAACAATTAAATTCAAAAAAACATGCATGTGCAAAGATACAAATTAAAAAAAATCAGATTTACTAATTACCTGATAGAGTACATTTTGTATACATATATAAATATACTATATTATTTTTATTACATTTTCTGTAAAAGTTATTCCATTGAATGTTTGGCTGTTACCAAGAAGTATTCAAATCAACAGAATTCGAAACAAAAGGTAGTTATTGCCGGTGTTTGCACACTCAGTGTTACAGCAAGACGCAAGGTAGCCAATCACCATTTATCAATCTTTACAGGTGTCCATTGTTACATGTTGTTGTGTTAGTACTTCGATTCTAGAGAAGACAGTATTTGATACCTAACTCTTATAGTTAGAAAATGTTGATTGTAGAAGATAATTTGACAGCAGGATACTATTGCTATAAGCTTCTCTATTGTTCAAAATTATATAGAGAAAATTTATTGTTGTT